GGCAGCGGCGGCGGCGGCGTTACTACGCTGATCGATTTAGTGCTTCTTTTAATTAAAATTAGTAATCACTTGATTGTTACTATGCAGAAACGTTCTTCGTTTCAATATGTAAAGGAGAGATAAGAACAGTCAAATTGTAAAATTTCACTTCTCGTAAAGGAAGTAAAGAAATTTCGTGAATTTGTTCATCTGTAAAACGAAGCTTTGACTGACATTTGATTCCATATGCATATAACATTTCATTTAATAGACGTTCTGCTCAAACTTGAGTAATTAAAATTTTCATGGCAAAATTTGTGGGATACCATTGTTGACGTGACTGGGCGGTGGCTTCATAAAAAATATTTATAGAACTCTTATTCATCTTTAAGAAGTAAAATTGATGAAATGTGAAACATATTTCAATTTCAAACAGCATCAGAAATAACATAGATTTGATATAATGTAAAATCCAATATATACGCAAAAAAATACACAACGTAATGTATATTACTAAAGATTCTGTGAAGTAAACTTTCCTTTTTATTAGGTTCCTTTTTATTAACGATATTATAATAGTCAAAGTTTGTATCCTTATCTCTCAGGGTTCATTATTATTATTGCAGAGACACGTAAAGGGATGCTGGGATCTCCTGAGTCAACAACTGCTTCCACTTTCCTTGCTCTCTGTACAGCCCGCCGCTCCATGTTGTGCTGCGCTCTGTTATCTAGTACGTCAACTAACGCCTTTTGTCGACCATGTCGTAGGACGGAATAATCCCGATTGCTGGTTACAACTGCGTGGATGCACAGCTTTACCATGAATCATTTTCATCACCGTAGTCTTCACCGGCTGATGTTACGCAGAAGCCAGCCTTTCCTCTGTCTTTGCTGTAACTCTGACCGAGAGGTCCTACAGTTCGAATCTAGACAGTGTCGGATTTTCGATTTAGCTACGTCGCCGTCTTCGAAATATCGTTAAGACGATGTCATCGAAGACGTCATATAACTAAGTCGTCGATACATAGCCAGGCCGAATTCAGACGCTGCTATCTGGAGGAGAATTTTTGGTGACCAGTTACTCTAATAGATAGTCTCACGTATAGTTTCCCGTAGTTTCTCAGATCAGTGTCAGGCCGAATGCCAGAGCAGTATCCTAACAAACGGGCCGAGAACAACACGCTATCTTCCCTCCCTCTTCCTCGTTTAACCCCTCCCTCGTGTGACCTCGACACACGTCCACGTGAAACCAGTCGAGAGCTTAGAGCTTGTTCCTTCTGAGGCGGTTCCCGCGCTAGCGAAAGTACCTGGAGAGAAGATTCCCTCAAGCCGACGTATAGGTCGGCGCCGGAACTAAATATCCAATGGGGGAGGAAACCTCTCGGGAAAATCATGCACAACACTAACGGGACTCATGACCTTAGACGTTGACGTGTCGGGAAACACCAGTCACAATATTTTTTTGCCAGATGGCAGGTCCCCTACACCTTTGTCGTCTCCAACCCTATCTATCCCAGGCCAGCTGGGTTGTATTCTTGGAGTTAAAAAGCTTTATTTAAATCCATTCGTTTTCGACTGCTTGTTATCCTTAATTATTGTGTTTCAATAATGCCTTTCTTCTTGTTATACGACCCAACCAATTTCCCTTCCTTTGAATTTCGTTTTCATAATTCGTCTTTCCTCTCATTCTTTCAGCACCTTTCATTCACGCCGTTCATTTTTTCCTTACTTCATCCTTCGCCATACAATATAGCGAGAGCTTCAATTTTGCACTCACCTTCCCCACTTTACTCACATACGTCAGTACGCTCTACATTCGCTCTACGTGGTCAATCAGCTTCTCAGAATTCTCTACATTTTGGATAATAATATAGTTTCCGACTAATGCCTAGTTACGAAGAAATTTAAGAAAAACGAAAACGTACGAAAATTTTTATTTTTTGTAATAAAAAACGTTGCAGTTCTAATTAAGAAAGAGGGAAACTTAGATTCTTTATATCAGAGACCTACTCTATCAATTAAAACATTTTTCACAACTCCGCTAATTTTAGGATGGCAGAACTCTTAATTTGCTTAGCATTTTAGTTATGGTTCTGTAGTCATGTATTTTGCTACATACCTAATGATGATGAGAAAACTTTGATTCTGAATCGGTATGCGGCTTTCTTAACATTTTCTCTTTATCGTACATACTTCCTTTATCGTGGTATAATTTGTTTATCAGTGGCAAACCCTTTTGAAATTAAAAAATGTAGCATTATTTAATTTTTACAAGAAATCGAAAATTGTAAAACCTTTCATAAATGTTTAGGTTACGGGAATGTTCATTTGTCGATCTTGGCAGTATTAAACTTAGTTTCTGTGCAGCTATCCTTCCACAAAGGGTTTGTTAGCGTCAGCGCTATATCCTTCATTATGCTGATTCTATTGAACTAGCAAGAGGAACACGTTACAAGTATATTAAGCTGCAATATATGAACAACACCGCATACGTCTGTTCGCAATGGCGAGTGCAGCAAATGGAGCGCAACTTGCTTCGGTCTACGATTACGAAACTTCTGTACGAACAACTGCGTGCATCCGCCGCCACGTTATCTACAGCGCGCGTAGGCTGCTGATCCTCCTGGCGGCTACGGCGGCGGGGGCGGCCGAGTTGCTGCAACTGGAATTGTGTTTCCTTCGTGCCCGCCGACCGAGTCTTCCTTCACTCGGACTCGTTACCGCCTCCTCCGCCTGCGACCTCGCCGTCTCTGCCCCCCCC